CATGAATATCATTCACACATAGTACATCCATAAACAAACATAATGTAAAACATTCATTTAAAACAGCGGAAGCATTAATACAATTGTTCAAGCCACACTTGGCATAACTAGGCATACAAGCCCCCAAAGTAATTGTTCAAAAATAATGTCCATGAGCATTGTTATCATTATCTTGAAAACAGGAACCAGAAGAAGCACGAACCACGTCTTCTCCTTTGAATATCCCCGAAGCAACGGGCGTCGGTAGCAACCTTCAAGTTCTACCTGAAACTGCGAGGTGGCCTCCCCCGTGAAGGGGAGGTCAGTACTTGGAAATATTTGACAAGTACAATAGCAACTATACTAAGTATAATCAACGTTTTAATTTCCAAGACCCTCAAAATAGGGTGATATCATAATATAAATAGTAATTTATATTTCCCACTTATTATCTTTATAATAAGTAAATTTATTTATTTGTCGGCACACGGCCCTTCTAATATATCCTTTTTCATTTATCATTTGCACAACCCAACCCTTGGGTCCTATTATTTCTACGGGACTTGCTACCGTTGTCCGAGACCTCATGAGGCTCCCGGTTCGGACTCCAACATCCCGCCCCTGGACTCGTACCCATCATCCCGTAGGAAGGTAAGGCCCTTCGGGGTCCTATCTTATGTGTTACCGCTACCGGAACCTAGTTAGGTCTCCGATTCGGATTCCACCCTAACCCGTGATCACGATGTAAGTCCATGCTATCCAACCCCGCTCTCTAGAGTCGGGAAGGGCCATGGTCCTTACTATTTCCATAATTCGACCGGCTATCCACAAGAACTACCGAACACACCCGTAGGCCAATCCTATACTTAGGATCAATTTATTATTTACTTTATCTTGGGTATCCCTTAAGGCCTACCCCTAGTATAACTTAGAGTTCATACTTTCCTACCTTAAAGCATCTCTTAAGACTACTTAAGGCATAACATTTCACAATCCAACCTTAGGATCAATCTTAACAACATTTAATCTTAATGTCCAACTAGTATCTTAATACTAGTCAAATTAATATCAACAACCAAGTTTTCAACTCATAGTCATATAGACAATTCCAACTGATTTTCCTTTGAAAATATCATTTATCTCAATATCCAAAATATCACTTTTAATCACTCATATATTCTAATATGAAGAAAAAGTATATTTCACCACATGTTTCATAATAATTTCCACTTTCAAGTCAACATACTCATAACACATGAACATACACAATTTATTCCTAAATTTGTATATCATGCTCCTTTTTCTCTAGACATTTAGTCTTGTCATTTTTAGGCATTATTAATCATTAATAATCCATAAAAACACATTTAATTACCTTCGGTAATCTCATGAAATTAACTCTCTAATTATAAGCAATATAGTCAGCCATCCTCACCTTATGATGTGCTCAACTAGCTGCCTTAGCGAAACCCCCTCGATCCGTCCCCGTTCTAGGCCGTTCAAGAGTGGAAAATCTGGAAATTTAGTGAAAGCCGGGCGGCTTTGATGAAAAGTGGGCGGCTTTCGGGCCTGCAGCTTGAAAACAGTCCCCTACAATGGTGGTTTTCCGGCGGTTTCGACTCCTATCGATTCCACAACTCTTCTAAGTTAAATACCATCATTCTATATCAGTATTCTACACTTTTGAACGTGTAGAACATCATGTTTAATCCACCATATGATTTATTAAAAATCATACACAAATAAACTAGTTAAAGGTGGAAAACTAGTTGAGCTCTTACCTCTACTCTAGCTTTTCTTCTTGGGCTTTCTTCCTCCTGCCTCCTCAACTTGAGCTATGTAAGAGCTTCCTTGGAGCTCTCTCTCTTCCCTTTCTTGCTGGCCGAATGTGTGCTCTTGGTAGGAGATAACTCTCCTTAATCAATTGAGAGAGAAGTCAATGGGTAGGCCAAGGGGTATGGGTGTTTGTCTCTATGAGACTTCCCCCCTCTCCTCCATCCGTATCATCCCACTCCATCTTGTCCTTCTCCCATTATTTGGTCAGCTAGCTCACCTAAAAACGTGGGGTGGCCCCCACTTAGGTGGGAGGTCATCCCGTTGTGTCCCGGTGTGTACAATCGGCCCCGAAAGTTGTATTTTTCGGACTACTTTAGTCATATTTTATTTTATCGGGCCAAATAAAATATATCACGCGTTCCCAATAATCATGAGCCTTTAGAATAGATGTGCATTCCCCAACATTAATTTAGTAGCCTCCGAAACTCTTTTCGGGCTGTTATCCGCTAAATTACCAATACAGGTAATTGGGCCCCGTTTGACCAACCGGTCAACTCCATGCCTTTCTTATGGCCCAAATAAAATATCCACCACCATATACATATTATCTAGACCAAGATGAATATAATATGTGGTTCGGGAATTATCGGGCGGTCCCCGTCCCGCTGTGGGCCCCACATGCAATTTACTATTCTCGTAAAAGAAATAGTAAAAATTTACAATCACGCAAATCCATAAATCATCTTTCAAGGTTTATTACATAATTTACTAAAAGTAAATATACTCGGGGTCGGTGTTACAACGCGAGTTACATATTTTTACACGTAAAGTTACATATTTATACACGCGAGTTACATATTTATACATACGAGTTGTATTTGACTTGTCTGAACGCGGGTTACATATTTTTACACGTAAATTTACATATTTTTACACGTAGAGTTACATATTTATACACACGAGTTGCATTTGGCCTGACTGGATGTGAGTTACATATTTCTACACGTAAAATTACATATTTTACATAGGTTAATATAATAGTTCGATAATATGTTAAAATTACATAGGCAATATTGGTCTCATTTGAAAGATCATGAAAAATAAAAATTTTGATATAAATTTTATAAAAACCAGATCACAAATGAAAAAGTTATTATAGATTTTAACAATAAGAGAAATAAATAAATAATAGGACCCACTATCATTTTAATACATGTTTCATGTGGAGCTTCCAATGATGCCTAAAACCGTATGCCGGTATACGGTGCTCACCGTATACCGGTCATACGATACAACAACTGCTATTAGGGTGTTGATCTTGTTTAAGTATAAAATGATTGGCCAAGGCTGAGTACGGAAGTCGGTTCTCTGAGTCTCGTCTAATGAGTGAGCGAGGACAAGGTAAAGTCTGATTTCCTCAGCCTCATCGGCTTCACCAGTACAACATGTGAGAATAATGGAAAATGTTACTCCCTAAGGAGCCCTGACAGATATATTTATACTGATAGAGTTCTATGTAAAGTACAAAACATCCCTAGGGAGTCTTTTAAAAAATGAAAACGTTGACTAGGGAGTCTTTTAGTAAAAATATCTGCCAACTGTAGATGAGTAGGAACACGCTGAACAATAATATCTCCATGAGCAACACATTCGCGTACAAAATGATAATCAATCTGGATATGTTTGCTCCTGACATGCTGAACTGGATTTGCAGTCAAATAGGAAGCCAAGATATTATCACACAATAAATATACCGATTCCGTGATTGGATAGCCAAGCTCAAATATAACAGACCGGATATGAAGTGTGTCTGGGACAGTGTAAGCAATCACATGATATTGAACTTCTGTGGAGGACTTTGACACTGTAGGCTGCTTTTTAGTCTTCCAGGAGACTAAATTAGGTCCCAAAAATACCGCAAAGCCTGTGGTAGACCGAGAACTATCAGGACACCCAGCCCAATCAGCATCTGAGTAAGCAAGTACACATGTTGGCCGATTAGACTGCTGCAGCCATAGGCCATGATCTCACGTGCCCTGCAAATACTTGAAAATTCTTTTTACTACAAAAAGATGAGTGGTACAAGAAGCATGCATGAACTAAGACACTAAGTGTACTGCATAAGTAATGTATGACCGTATTAAAGTTAAATATTGTAAGGCACCTACCATCCTGCGACACTCAGTAGAATCCGAGAGTAACTCACCATCAGACAGAGACAGAGTAGTGCGGGAAGCTAATGATGTGCGAACAGGCTTGACTGTATGGAGATGAAACTGGGCTAGAAGATCAGACACATATTTGTGTTGGGAGAGAAATGGACCTTTAGTAGTACGAATAACCTCGACTCCCAATAAACAATGGAGATTACCCAAGTCTTTCATAGCAAAATGATTAGAAATAATCGAAATAAACCGGATAATAGAAGATTCAAGTGTCATTCTCGACGGAGATTACAGGGACTTGCCGGAGAATGGCGGTTTCATTGGAAGATGGTGGCGGCGAACTCAATGAAGGGTGGCGGAGGCGGCGGACTTGATGGAGGATGCAATGTTGCGGTACTGGAGGATTGTTGCCGCACACCTGGAACTTGGAGGATGACAACGCTGGATATTGTTATGGCAATTCAGGATGGCTGCGAGCACTAGAGGCTATTTCTGTCCAAACAAAAATATTTACTCCTATTTAGAGAATTCAAAATAATAGGTCCTCTTTTTGCATCTACATGTACTTTTACTCCCATTTTGGGAATTCAATCTTTTTTTTCCTTTCTCTTTTCCTTTTTTCTCTTTTTTCTCTTTCTTCTAGTGCACTCGTCTTCTACGTCTGTAGCCCATCCATCTCCTCGTTCCCTTCCTTTATCTGCAACTACAGATCTATGGAGATGGAAGCGGAGCAAGAAAAAAGAGAAAAAAGGAAGAGAGAAAGAAGAAGGAAGAGAAAAAAGAGAAAAAAAGGAAGAGAGAAAGGCAAAAAGAAAAAGGAAAGGAAAAAAATGGAAAACAGTAAAAAATGACAGCTCACACGTCCACGTACGCGTTTAACCGGGTAATCGGTTGATTACCCGTTAAAAAGCTGATTTGGTCATTTTCTGATAGTTGATAGACTTAATTGACTCGAAAAAAAGTACATAGACTCAATTGACTTTTTGTTAAAAGTACGTGAACATATTTGACAATTTTCCTCTTTATTTCCCAAAAATGTGTTCACATCAATGCAAACGCGGCGCCAAGGCATTGACTCAATTCGCCCACACTAGAACTAGGGTATGTCGGCCACATAGTAAAACTGCTCACCTCCGGAGGGACTGCGCTTCATAACAAGACTGCAAGAGTTCGAACGCCTTTCTAGTACACGACTCGGGTTCCTTCTCCTGTTGGCAAAAGTCTCTACTGGTCCAAATTCAGTACTACGAAAATGGTGAGTACTTTGATTTGTCTTCTTTCAATCGAATTTCTTTTTTATGGGTTCTCTTTTTTTCGTTTACCATTTGATTCTGTGTATGAGTTTAGTGTTTGATCTGCGTTAAGGTTGAAAAGTAGCGATCAGATATGACTTAGATTCTAGAAGCGTCATAATTTGGCTCTTGATTATCTAAGAAGCGCATGCAATCGGAACTTTCAACCCTCATATTGATGTGGGTTGAGCAGGAGTAGATATTCTATCATAGGAGCAAATGAAGAAATGGATCTGAAGTAGTTCATGATCTATATTTGATCCACTATTCTGGAAAAAATATACTTCGTATCATTTTTGATAATATGATCTTTTGGATTGTGTCTATGATTTTAGTATGCTTCTGTATCGCCATCTGTCAAGTGCTTAGGATTTTCTTAATTTCAGGTTGATCCTCAGTAGATTATACTCCGATTAGAGGATAAATATACGGATACATCGATCTATAGCTATTATTGTGTTATACAGTAAAAGAGAACCTGTGCAACTTTTTGTTGCTTTGTGACATCCTGGATAAAAACTCTTCTAAAGGTTGAGAGGTGCTATCAGAATTCCGGTGTATAGCCTCAAGCTGTTGTGGCAACTCTCTATGTATTCCATTTCATGCTCTTTCAAAGAACCAAAGGCTCTGTTGGATTGTCCATTGATTCCCATTCCCCTCAATTTTTGGGGTTGAGACCCCCCCTTGTATTTCTTGAATCTTAAGAACCCATCATGGACCTTCACCGATCTTAAAAAATGTCAATTGTATGAGAGCTTGTTTTGCTTCCCTTTCTGATTGTGTTAGGATCAAGCTCTATTTTGTTACCTTACCGAGCTTTGTTCTGGTTACCACTTACCAGCAGAGCAAGTAGCGCTTCTCAGTGAAATTGATTTTATCCTATGTTTTTAATATTACTTTTCAGGCTAATGCAGTCTCTGGGATAGCTGTACATGATGATTGCAAGTCGAAGTTTTTGGAGTTAAAAGCAAAAAGAACTCACCGTTTCATTGTGTTCAAGATTGGGGAGGTTATTGTTGAAAAGGCTGTTGAGCCAGAAACTAAAAACAAGAGTGATGAACAGGTCTGTGTTGAGAAAGTTGGTTGCAAAAGCAAGAGTGAGGAGGAGGAGCCCGAGGCCATGGTTGAAAAGGTTTGTGAGCCAGCAAAAAGTAAGAATGAGGAGAAGAAGCCCCAGGTCATTGTTGAAAGGCTTGGTGAGCCGAATGAAAGCTATGATGAGTTCTCAGCCAGCCTCCCTCCTGATGAATGCCGATATGCGGTTTATGATTTTGATTTTGTGACAGAAGAGTGTTGTAAGAAAAGCAAGATTTTCTTCATAGCATGGTAAATGTTTAATCATTCATCATTTTCATTTACCCCAGTGCCGCAAAGGCTCCCACCTACGGTGGAGTAAGGGGGGTAGGATGTACGCAGTCTTACCCCTGTACTAAAGCACAGAGAGACTGTTTCCGGATGACCCACAGTGAAAATCCCGTCCAAAATTGCATGGACTGACTGCTGCTTCATAACAAAGAAGCGCAGACAGTTTAGTGAGCCGTTTTGCTTTATTCCATCGTAATCTCAAGCCAAAAAATAATGAATCTTTGGCTCCATTGCAAATGATGGAAAAAGCATGGTAAATGTTTGTTGGGTAATTTTTTATTTATCTTTTTGTTTCCACAACTGTCTTCTTTCATGATATTATTATTATTGCTATTATTATCATTACCATCATCATCATTATTATTTGTTCAAGGTCTCCTGAAACAGCAAGGGTTAGGAACAAGATGATATATGCAAGCTCCAAAGACAGATTCAAGAGGGAGTTAGACGGAATTCAGGTGGAACTTCAAGCAACTGATCCAACTGAAATGGGAATTGATGTTTTAAAAAGTCGTGCTTACTAGATGTTGCTGATCCATACATAGACATTGTAAGGGAGAGATAGCTTATTGGAGCCTTCTTTACTTGGTCCAAATGTTTTATGGTTTGTTTAACAGAAATTTGGGTGATAATATTGATTGTCAAGGGATGCCATATGAATATCCTCCCTCTATTTATTTTGATGAACAAATACGCGGTTTGTGGTATATGAGTTGGTTTATTACCTCGGATTTTGATTTGGTGTGAGAAATGGTAATGTATGTTGTTATCTCGATAGTCATTGCTGCCGCCCCACCCCTGCAGTCTTGTGATCACAAATCTAAAAAAAATCAAAATATCTGGCCTAATGTTGTTTTGGTTGTCTCATGACATATTATTGGCTGTTTCTCAACTTGTTGATCAATTGGAAGATATCTCATAGTCATCCGTAGGATAAATTCACTCTGTACCGCTACGGTTTGTGGAATCATAATCATTACTAATTTAATTCATACGTTTTTCTAATTGTTTTGCATGACATTTCCATTCGTGATGCATGATGAGATTTTTGAGTTTCATGACTTGATAACAGGTGTTAAGTTTTGTTCATTATGATCTCTCTGTTTGTAAGAATTGTTCACTAAGAATTGTTCATTAAGATCTACATTGTACTTGACACGAATTTGTGGATAGTTCTCTTTGCTCAAGATGGGAAATAAGAAATGTAGTTTTGCTGTCTTTCATGCATATTTCTGTTTCTACCAGTGAAACACCCTTTGGTAGCCATTGTGACACAGTGGTTACAGGATTACAACTTTGATTTTGTTTTCTCAAAAATAGGACTACCTAATTTTTATTGCATAAGTAGAACTTATGTGGCCCTTGGAAGTTGGAAAGACTAATCATATTAGCCTACAATACCCTTAAGGTTTAGCATTAGTGTTATGGGATTTACTGACCCTCTAGCTAGGGGTGGACCGGTTCCGGTTCGGGCCCGGTTCGGGCCTGGGCCCGACCGGGCCTCGGTTCATGAAGGGGAGGCCCGGAACCGGCCCGGGTAACCCCCGGGTCCGGGCTGGGCCGGGCCTCGGTTCTAATTTTTTTTTTTTTTTTTGGGTTTTCCTAGTTAACCCCCAACCCTCTCACTCACCCCCAAACCAACCCTAACCACCTCAAATGGCCCAAAATACCCAGCCCAACCAAAAAACATAAAAAAAATTCAAAAAAATAATAATAAATTGGCCCGGCCCGGGCCCGAACCGGCCGGGCCGGTTCACCTTTTGAAGGGCCCGAGCCCGAACCGCCATCCCACCGGGCCGGGTGGCCCGAACCGGGCAACCAACCGGTTCACCGGGCTGGTCTGGGCCCGCATAGTAGCGGGCCGGTCTGGTTCCGGGCCGGTTGACCCGACCCGAGTCCATCCCTACCTCTAGCGTTTAGGGATGGCATTTCTAGGGTTTAGCAATCTCATTTACGGTTTGCATTTATAAAGTTTACCAGTTTCATTTATGAAGTTTTTCTTTGACAAATGCATTTTTAAGTTTTATTTTATATATATTTTTAAAGATTTATTCACCTTTTAATCTTTATTTTATTTTTTATAATTTTAATCATATTACTGTTTTTTTGATATATTTAATCCTATTATTGTAAATAAGTTTTATTTCAACATATTTTTAAAACCTCTATTATTATTAGGACTGACATACAGACTTCCATTTATCAAATCAATAATACGACCATTGAATATGAAGAGGACATTCGCTGGAACAACATACTAAAAATTGAGGAAATTTGAAGGTTGTTTGGTTGACGATCAGAGCAGAATATATACCCTCTGTTCCAATTTGATTTACAAAGTTGTCCTAAAATGATTTTTCACTTTCTATATACCTCTTTTCCATTTCTTAAATGTATCATCCATTTTATGAGAGAGAACAAAATAGTAAAATCAAACTTAATTTATTGCCTTCCTTAACTCTTGTGATAGTCAACTTCTGCAAATCAAATTAAGATGGAGTATATGTTACCAAGAAAGAAGAGATAATGACTTATACTTATCCTCTTATCTTTGCTTCGCTACAACTTTTATCTACGGACTACAGGGAATTTTGACTTTGTACCCCACTTTTGGGTGTTATTGTTTAGATCTTATGGATGACAAAGACACTTAGGGATTACTACATATAATCTAAAACTTTCTAAAGTCGTATCTTCTGTGACAATATAAGTGTCATATATATATATATGCATATCTAAAGACCTTTGTTTTGCACTCACAAACAAAACATATTGAGATTATACATCACTTTATTAATGACCATGTGCAAAAAAGAAATATTTCTATTGAGTATATGGACACAATGCACAAGCTAGTGGATATATTCACTAAACAGCTAGACACTACAAGCTTTTGCTTTCAAAGTAAAACAAGTGCTTTATAGTTTTAGTTTGATTTTTGTGCTCAACTTGTACTCACTTGCACTCTTGTGTGATTGCTCTTTTATAGGTGCAGTTGACACACTTGAGTAGAAACCGTTGTAGAACCTTTCACTGAAACGAGTGAGTATACCTACCTGTATGTATTAAACCTTTTGGTAGTTGTCATTATGCTTTGCTTGACTCTAGTCTTTTGAATTCTAATACTCGGTAGGCACAATTTTTTAAAGACACCTAGGGCTGTTAGATGTGTTTTTGTTTTCAATAGAGAATGTGAGCAAGTGCAATGGCACACACTATGAAACCCCAAGTTTGAGAGAAAAGCGCGGAGTATGAAAATTTGAAGCAGTTGTTTGAGAAAACCCACAATTTATTTGAAGTGATAGTGCGAGATTAGATGTCAAAATTCCTTAAAATTGTTTGAAGCTTGTCCTACAATTAAAGAGAAGATGGGTTCAATTCACTTGAGTAGAAATAAGGTCTGATTGTATCCTAGAGTGAAGAGGGATAGATGGTCCTCGTCACTAGCTACCAGTGTTTGCAGCTGCATCACTTTTCATTGGTAGAGATTTTGGGTCAAGATGAGATGCTGAGTTGTGATCCTTGCATTTCCCCCACAGGACCATATAAAGCCCTATAACAATGACAGCGGCACCAACAACCCTACAAGAATCTGACATTAATTAAAATGGATTTGATAGAATGTCCTGGATGGAAATTAAAGATACCTACCTTCCGAGGTACATCTGCTCTCGTAAAATGATGGAGCTGATTACGGCCACAATGACCATACTCAATGGATTGAACGCAGTTACAAAAACGGGCCCTCTGTCTTTCATGACCACTCCTTGAATGTAATAAGCAAGCCCAGAACAGAATACTCCCTGCACATATTAGAATTCATGAGTTGAATCGGTCGCCCATTCTACTACTACTCTTGATCAATAGTGATGTATCTTACACTGTAAAGGGCAGCAAGAAATTTGGTATCCCAGTTTATGGACCAAACAGCAGCAGGATTGCCCCTCTCCATGACGAGTGCCAAAATTGCTGCCTCACCAGTTCCCAAAAGGCATATCCATGCAGTGAGTGAAAGCTCTGTGGGATATGTTTTCAATGTCACTGCCTGTATTGTATGGCAGCAACACATTGTCATTATCATTGTTATTATTATCATGTACTCTGAATTTAAGTGTGGACCGAATGGAAGACGTACTTGTAAGATGACGAAAAAGGCCCAACTCAAGCATCCGAAGGTGATCATGAGAGCTCCTTTGATAGAATGGGCAAGATCAATGGCCCCAGTTGCAGGATGGCCATGACCGATTGACTTGGTCCAAAACAGCTCAAGCACTGGGCCTTTCACAAGTGTCATCATCATGGCCCCCCCTACCGTTGCCACCGTTCCTATTATCTTCGCTTGGCTTCGAATACTCTTCAATCTCACCTTCTCTAGCCTGCCCCACCCAGCTTAATTCATTTATTAATCTAAGACATCTCATAATCTCATTCTTATTTCTCATTTAACATTTAATCCCCACACTAATCAATCTTACTTTTCCCCCATATCTCTCTCACCTCATCAATCATTCAATCAATCAGACAATAATTGTATCAAAACCCATTCAAGTGCAGTCTTGCATGCTGTGAAGTACTAATTAATTACGGTAGTTTTAACATGGATGAACTTCAAATGAAGTTGCAGGTACAAGGAATCTGAATGCCTGCGAGTACCTAGCTAGCCAGCTACACATTATTATTATTATTATACTCCATCCATCCGGTCCTAAATAAACTTCACACTTTGACTTCACACAAATTAAGGAAATAAATTTGACTTTACTGTAGTGTAAGTACACTGTTGTGACACTGTTTGGCAGTGTTTTGACGTAGATAATTTGCCAAATAAGGAAGGGAGAAGAAGTGTGAAGTTTATTTTGGACCTATCCAAAATGGAAAATGTGAAATTTATTTAGGACCGGTGGGAGTATTATATATTATACAGTACGTACTCCATATATGTCAGGCCAGGAAGCAATATGAAAAAGAAAGAAAGAAAGGTATGGCCAACCTGAATAGCAATGCAATCAAAAAAGTCAAGGCAGGCAGGATGTTGGCCATAGAAGCCGCAAAAGTTGCTGTTGTATATTTCATGCCTATGAAGTACAGATTCTGGTCTATCACAGGCCTGTACATACACATATATATAAAAAGTAGTAGCGTTACGTTTGAATTGGTATGAATAGAAGATTGGATGTGTGTTTTAATCGATGGATGTTTGGCATATGCTTACTCAAGAAGGCTGAGAAGTACAAGCTTGGCGAAAATGGGAAGCGTCATTTTGGGCCTGTGTTTCCTGCATGCGCGGATCGGAGTTGAACTTAATTACAGTATAAAAAAATGAGCGCGCGAGCAGGGCAGGCAGGTACTTACTGGTCTAGAATGAGAGCAAAAGGAGCTATGACGATGGTGGCAACAGCGTGGCGGTAGACAACAAAGACATAGTTGCTCATGCCTTCGTTGAGGGCGACTTTGGAGATGACATCCATCCCCGCCAGCCCAAACTGAATGAACACCAGAGCCAGGTATGGCTTCCATCTCACCAACGCTTCCGCCAATCTCCACTCCATTCTATTCTATGTAAATAAAAGCTAAGGCAACCGATGAGCTTAAAGCTAAGATCCACTTACCACTCCATCACTACGTATGTAGTCTATATATATATACACACACACACACGCTAATTAAGCTGCGGCGCTACAATTAGTAAATTAATCAACTTAGGACACACAATTTCATTCATATACATACATACATACATAAGGTGGGCTGGTGTCTATTTATATACTACGGACGGGTAGTATATATATTATAGTGCGTGAAACTCGAGATCTGCTGCTAAGCTACATTCATTTCTTGTTTTTGCTTTTAATTTCTTTATACATACGTACGTACGTACGCACCTATTTTCAAATCAGACGCTTTCTTTTCTCTTTCTTATAAATAAACGCTAGCTAATTATTTATTTAAGGCCGCGCGGTCACATTATACTTCAGTACCAATCAAGTCTCTGCGTATTAGATACGTAATTAAGCTTGCTTCAACATGCGTATTCAACTCCATCACCCCTTATATTTATCTTTGCGATCATCATTCATGATTAAGCTGTGCACGCCATACATACACTATACTCCCAAATTGATTTCTAACGTCAGTTTTTTTATTCCATTTTTAATAATTAAAATTTATATCTTCAAAAACTACATTCAAATCTCTTCAAAGTTACAAAAATCCAAATTAGAATATAATTAAATGTTAAATCGCACACCGGAAATGTTTGAGTCATCGAAGTGTTATATTAAGGCATGAGTTCCTCCTTCTATCAGGTTGACCTTTTAGGATGGAACCCCGGATCTTAACATGGTATCAGAGCCAAATCGGTCCATGGTGTGGGCCCCCTTATGAAAAATGATTGACACGATTATTAAAAAAAAATGACAATGACGAATTGACGAAAAAAATTAATGACGGCACGCTCCAGACAAAGAGTCTGATCGTGAAAAGGGGTGTTAAATCCCACACCGGAAATGTTTGAGTCATCGAAGTGCTATATTAAGACATGAGCTACTCCTCCTATCAGGTTGACCTTTTAGGATCGAACCCCACGTCTTAACATTAAAAATTGACATCCGAATTAAATGAATGAAATGAAACTTTTTGACTAAGAAAAGTCAATTTTGAAAATCAAATTGGGACGAAGATAGTATTCCCTTCTACTCTAAAATATCTACTAAACTTTCACTCCTCTGTATATATGACATATATAGAGAGAGTATTCAACAGTAAGGCGTTACTACACGTCATTTACTGCATTTCATGGAGGCGTTACTTCACGGCATTACAAAAGTGTCACGAATTTATCGTTTTTTTCATTTTAGATTTGATAACTTTAGTTTTTACGTATAATTAAATACTCTCCCGGTCCTTAAAATTTTGTCATCTTTCTTTTTTTGGGACGTCTCAAAAAACTTTGTCACTTTCTCTTTTAATCAATTTTTTGTGGTTCCTGTTATTTCTCTCCTCAACACAAATCTCAACCACACAATTTTGAATTTATTATTCTACGTGTCAGTCAAACTTGACAACGTTTTAAGGGACGAATGTAGTATAATTCTTTTTGTTCCAGTGTTACTGCATTGATGTTGAAGTTTTTGCACGCGATATTACAAAAATGTTAGAAATTTATGGTGATTTTTTCTTTTTAGATTTGATAACTTTAGTTTTTATATTTAAAGAAATGTACTACACTAAATTATGACACTGCTTGTAATAATCACTGGATTTTTTTTGTCATATTCACTGCTTTAAATAAAAAGGGAAATATAATTAAAACACCTCAAACTTTGAAGGGTGCGAGATGAACACCCCAAACTTGCATATGTAATTTAAACAGTCCAAACTTTATCTAAAAAATTTATTGTGGCACCATAATCAAGTATTATTTCTTTCAAAAATGTAAATTTATGGTGTTAGGTGCGTAATTTAAAATATTTTAGAATTCATGAAGACACAATTAACATTCTAAACTTTCATTGCAAAATAAATAACGTTACCCCCAATATATATAATTGCAACACTTTTAATTTGCTATTTTAAATTATGCAATTAACCCCATACATTAACATTTTTTGAAAAAAATACTACATGACAATGGTGTGAAAATAAATTTTTATATGTAGTTTGGGGCATTTAAATTACATATGCAAGTTTGAGTTGTTTACCTTACACCCGTTCAAAGTTTGGATTATTTTTATTATTTTTGCCAAATAAAAATTACTCACTGCGTTCACTAGCCACTATTCTACAATTAATTGCACAATGTCTTCAATCGTTTTCAACTAGGGTTCACTTTCAACCTCGGGTTCACCTTCAACCTCAGCAACCTTGGTTGAAGAATCTGAGTTGTTGAAATGTGCCACGAAGTTATGTCTTTGTTACGGAAGAGCTAATCCAGTCTGTATGTCTTTGTTACGAAGTTATGTCTTTGTTACACATATGCGGATATGGGTGGAGATATTGATAGTAAAACGTTTAGTTTAAGATATATCTTCACTTTTGCAAGGGGGCTGTTTCTTGACAAGCAAGATTGCAGAAGTGTGTCGCTTTATCTACAACAGAAGCAGAATGCATCACTGCCGCGGAAGCTGGTAAGGAAATGTTGTGGCTAAAGCGCTTTCTTCAAGAACTTAAAATCAGGAGAAAGAGTACATGGTACATTGTTAATTACAATCAGAGTGCTCTAAACTTGAGCAAGAACTCCATGTATCCATTCTCGTACAAATTAAAGCACGTACGCATATTGATGTTTGGTATTACTGAATATAAGAGATGATTGATCAACGACTGTTGAAACTAGTGAAGATCAATACAAAAGAGAATCCATCTGAAATGTTGACAAATGTGATGACACGAGAATAGCTAAAATTATATAGGGACATAATCGGGATGCTTGTTCTCAATATTTCTAGAAGGGGAGAATTGAAAAATTCATTTTTCAAGACATCCAATTACAAGTAAATTGAGGAATCCAATTACTAGCAACATCCATGAAGCCTCCTCCATATCCATGAATGACAAGGGATGCATCCACACACCTAGGAGACACCTTCCTCTCACTCACCATTGAAACATCATCAAAGCTTCCACCCACCTTCCTCCTAGCTTCCTCCTATATAGTTTTGGTCCTATAAATAGATAAGCTTGTAAAGCATTTTATCATTATATATTAGATCATCATAGCACAACCAAGAAAGTTGTGCAATATCCATGAGAGAGATGCGATGTGTTTTTGAGAATTTTTAGTTAGAGCTTGTATTTCTCTTCTTTCTATTCTTGAAAGTAAAAGAAGTATTTTTCTCTCATATTAACTCAGCCCTTTTATTCCCAACAACTTCTTCCTTTTAGTATATTTAATAAAACTCGCTAAATTTTTTCTAAAGTGGTGTTTGTGATTGCTTCTACTCTAAAACAGTGATTTTGAAAATGTTTTTAGATAAAGTGTTTAATACTAAATGTTGATAGTGTTTAAGAAAAAAGTACTTTTAAAAAAGTAAAATGGTAGTGTTTGATAAAAAAAATGTTTCTTTGTGCAATAGAAAAAGTGAATTACAGTTTAAAACATTCATCCACATGCTTCCGGCTTTTAGCTTTTAAATTCTCAATTTAAGCAAAAGTTATCACTTGAAAACACTTATGTTAACTTTTTTAAATCCAAAAGCTAAAAAATACTCCAAGAGCTTTTCTAGTGTCAGAAGCTCCAAGGTACACTTTGATATATCTGAATAAACATAAAATAATTACAAAATTAATAGTGATTTAATTATTCATGATAAATTTAAACTATTACAACGAACTTTAAAAAGAAAGATCTATCCAATAAAACCCTTGATGAAATCTGATGAAATTTATATTATCATCATCATTACCTCAGTGCCACAGAGGCTCTCACCATACCTTTGATGGGATAGAGAGTCGGATGTACGTAGTCTTGCTCTTGTACTAAAGCATGAAGAGACCGTTTCTTGATGTCCCACGGTGAAAATCGCGTCGAAAATTGCATGGACTGACTACTGCTTTAATCTGATCAAATTAATATGATCAAATAAAATTCTTCAACGATTGTTGTTGCGGTTCTTGTGTTGGAAACGTTATTAACAACCATATTATGGAGTTATTGGAAACGTTATTTAGGATATTTTTACTTGGACTGAAATTTGCTGTTGTAGTCAAGTTTGATCTGGTTATGTCTGGTCTGAACTGGTCTGGTTTGACAAATGTATGGTCTCTGTGTATTTTATAACTATAGAAGTCTGGTCTGGTCTGAACTGGTTTGGTCTGTTTAAATCTTGTTTAGTCTGGGACTGAAAACAGTCCACGTAAAAATATCCTTATTTACTAGGCCATTATGATCGGTACAAAAGCGATCAACTATATTTAATAGAGTATATTTATGGGGTTATTTTGTAATTTGAAAAACTCTGTTTAATATAAATATAACTGGCAGAGCTAGTTATTAGTAAGACACTTTAATATTTCACATGGTATCATACCGCCTAGATTTTTCTCCTAAACCCTAGCAGACTCACGTACATCTTCCGCAACACCAAGACGTCTTCAGCTTCCATGATAACGTCCACGTCCATGGCGTCTTCTGGTTTTATGACTTCTTCTAGTTCTATGGCTGCCTCTACATCGACATCCCCTGTCTCCAGCACTGGGTTGGGTGTCCTGATAGCAGCCGTTCTAATATAGGATATGACATTACTTCCTAGAGATCCAAGAAGCAACCTACAGTTTCCAAGTCTTCCATCGAAGCTGAATACCGAGCTATTATCTACATGGCTGAGGAGTCAAGACACTCTTCATATTCGCTCAGTTCTATTTGAGTTTGAATTTCCAGTTTGTGCACCAATTCAGCTCAAGTGTGAAACTATTTCTGCAAAATATCTCCCTGTCAATGCAGTTCAGCATGCACATAGCAAACATATTTAGATTGACTACCATTTTGTCCAAGTTGAATATGTTCCTCAACTTCAATTGACAGATATTTATACAAAAAGATTGTTTGCTCATCGTTTTCATTTTCTAAAAAACAATATGCACATTATTTCCCCTGCACAGATTGAAGGAGAGTGACAGAGTATATTTATGGGATTACTTTGTAATTTGTAAAACTATGCTTTATTATAAATATACCTGGCAGGATTAACTATTGGTAAACTACTTTATTACTACGTATTTCACAATATTATGGCTTTCTTTTTGAATTCTATTTTGGCCATGTGTGGCCCAGGTAAATATATAAACTCATGAACAGCCTCTGCAACAGCCACACGTAATCCTGCATCTTTAATAATTCTGCTCTTTCCAATTGAGGTTTATGTTTTATTGGATATTCATTATTCTCTTTAATTAATATATCAAGCGTGTTGTCAATTTG